GCTTGTCCACAGGGTCCAAGAATTAAAAAAAAAATATTTTTTTCTTATGAAATGGTAGAGAATCTTTTTCTGAAGGTAATAAAACAAAAAGTACAAAATTTGATGGAAATTGATGAAATTACACTATCACGAATTTTGCTGCATCCGCTATATTTATGCATTGGCGATTTTGCCCACTTTGACTCCTATTTTAGGCCAATTACATTATTCCAGTTGACCAAATTCTTAGCTATTTTGCTAGTATCACTTCTGTTTTATCAATTGAGCACAAGAAATTACCTAGTCAACTATTTCAACTGCCCAATTAAGTGATTGGAAATTGGTAATTTGGCCAATTTCACACAAAGTTCAGTACATTCCAATTTCAAAATAGGGTCCAGAATAAACAATGCAAGCATTCCTGGCACTAAAATAATATTTCCTCTGTTTATTAGTTGCATTTCTAGGCTTTACAAATTAATTTTTATTCACACCAAAAAATAGAAGATTTACTGTTTTGCAATATTGTAATAATTGAATAAATAATATCAGCTCATTCGTGAATGCACATGTGACCCACTAGCTGACATGTATTGGATGTGTGACATTTGTTTACTCTTGAACATCGGCAAAAATCGAACATTTCCACTTCTTTGAGCTCAGTTTCAAGCCTTGTCAGTACTAAAACCAATGAAAATCATCTCTATTTTTGTAATAGATCTTCCATTCTATCAAGTGAGACCAAGAAACCGCAAATACAACCATAAAAAATGTACAAATATACACCGCAAAGTCTGTTTTAATCCAAAAACATGGTTGCAGTTTTTTTTCTCATTATGCACTGCATGCTGCAGGTATTTGTTTTATATGGTGCACACTTACCATATAGATGCATTCTCTTATATCTAGGCCCAAATTTACTGCTCACAGCTTATCTGAGTGAGCTGAGCCCATGGCGTAATACTTCAGCTTAGACCCAGGCTTCAAAACCGTAGAACTACGGGATGAACCCTCAAAGGGCTAAATTATGACTCACTATTGACAAAATAGCCAATGCATAAAATGTGCCTAGACTACTAACTTTGTGTTTGCATAATTTCATAAGATTTCCATCAAATTTTGTATTTATGGTATCGTTACCTTCAGGAAAAGATTTTTTTTTTTTTTTTTTTTTTAATGTGTACACTGTGAGCACTTTTAACCCTTTAATTATCCAGACCCCAAAATTCAAATTGCTTTCCATGTCCAAACTAAAAGAAAAAAATTATAAATTAAAAGAGTTCATTTCTCAAATGGTATTGAAACAAATAGAAAAATTTTCCCATCAGTACTTAGAGATATAGAAGTGTGAAATTGAAGGAGAGTGAATCTCTGAGGGCAGCATCGATGGTTGCCATGTGCTCCACATGTTGCTACTTTAGTATATGGTACTTTTTTTTTTTGCATTTTTCAGTAACTTTTTATGACCCCTTGAGACCTATATCATGCACTGTGAACATTTATCCACCTGTTGTGTGCAACACAACACCTGCACTGATAGTGTTATTAGTATATTGTTTACAAAACATGTTTATACAACAACATAAACATTCACAGGTACAAGTGATTCACACTATTACTGTTGTAACATTTATGTACATATATTGAGGCACTGGTCATGTACCTAGAGCTGTTTTAGTGTGTGGAAGACCTTGAAACACAGCTCCATACACAGCTGTGTTTTACACATCTCTACACACAAAGTGGTGATTGCCAAGCTTTCCACATTTTTGGGGAATGATATGGTCAGTTTCCTAATTTTGCACGATTGCATGAAGTCAAAATCTGTGGTCAGAAAAAGATTCATCGTATTATTACCATGAGTGGTCAGTGTGACAACTTGTGTTCAGGAACTATCTTCACTTGTTTTGGCATGTCTGGTAGCTAATACTAACCCCAGTATTCTCAGTATTGGATTGATAAAACCATAGTTTGGCAAAATGTGTTCACAATAAAGATACCCACCCAGGTGTTGCACATTGTTGTGTTCACCCAGAGGAGGAGCTGTTTAGGTGGTTTAGGCATTCAGAGAAGATGGAGCAGAATAAGATGACCAAAAATTTGTATAATTTTTGGGTGGAAGTGAGAGTGGTGGTCATTTCAGAAAGAGTTGGAGGTAAGGTGTGGAGGGGTTTTTAAATAAACACTACACTTTGCCTTACCCAGCAAGGTGTGGGGAATCTGTCCATGATGTTGATGTGTTTGGGTAGTCCAGCTATATTATGGCCACACCTCTTCCATTTTGATCATACCTCCACTACACAACTTTCTTAATGAAATACATTTACACTCTTTAGTACCAGTCACCAACATGTTCAGTAATTGAAGATATAAAGCTAGATTAGGTACATAACTGTAACTGACACAGCAATGTGTAATTAGTGCAACAGGCACAGGAATATGTAATTAGTGCAACAGGCACAGGAATATGTAATTAATGTAAAAGGTACACGAATGTATAATGAGTGTAACAGACACAGGAATGTATAATTAGTGACACACAGGAATGTGTAATTAGTGTAACAGACACTGGAATGTATAATTAGTGCAGCAGATACAGAAATACATAATTATCATGCTGCTTGATAATGCACGTTGAGTAGTCACTTCAGTTTCATTATTTAGATATTTTATACAAATTATGCATCAATAGGTTATATCAGTTTTGGGAAATAGTTGATTTAGGAAAAGTGATGTGTAATATAAGTAATTGCTGTTGCTTAAGAAGAGAGGGAGGCTGCACAGATGGTGGGCACTTGCTCATCAGTGAGCATATTTGAAAAATTTACTTTGTACTTCCCAGATATCGTGAATTGCCTACCATAATTTTTTTTATTTACATCTCATATTATCAACATTTTTTTCCATGCTGTCAGTTTTATTGTTGTTGCACTTTTTAATTTTATTGCAATTAGTGTACAGTAGTAGTAATAGTAGAATTACTGACAAAATGTTAGATAAAAGGACACGTGCAACTGATGTGACATTTTATTGCAACAATAATATGTCATATTAGTTGCATTCACTTTTAATTCACTTTTAATTTTCTTCTTTTGCATACCCTACCAAATTCATCCACCAATCTCTGCAACTTCTCTTCAGAATCTCCCAAGAGCACAGTGTCATCAGCAAAGAGCAACTGTGACAACTCCAACTTTATGTGTGATTCTTTATCTTTTAACTCCACACCTCTTGCCAAGACCCTCTCATTTACTTCTCTTACAACCCTGTCTATAAATATATTAAACAACCACGGTGACATCACACATCCTTGTCTAAGGCCTACTTTTACTGGGAAATAATTTCCCTCTTTCCTACATACTCTAACTTGAGCCTCACTATCCTCGTAAAAACTCTTCACTGCTTTCAGTAACCTACCTCCTACACATTGGAGGGAGAGAGTATGGAGGAGGTGAATGTATTCAGATATTTGGGAGTGGACGTGTCAGCGGATGGGTCTATGAAAGATGAGGTGAATCATAGAATTGATGAGGGGAAAAGGGTGAGTGGTGCACTTAGGAGTCTGTGTATTGTGTATTGTGTAAAGAACTTTGTCCTTGGAGGCAAAGAGGGGAATGTATGAGAGTATAGTTTTACCAACGCTCTTATATGGGTGTGAAGCATGGGTGATGAATGTTGCAGCGAGGGGAAGGCTGGAGGCAGTGGAGATTGTCATGTCTGAGGGCAATGTGTGGTGTGAATATAATGCAGAGAATTTGTAGTTTGGAAGTTAGGAGGAGGTGCGGGATTACCAAAACTGTTGTCCAGAGGGCTGAGGAAGGGTTGCTGAGGTGGTTCGGACATGTAGAGAGAATGGAGCGAAACAGAATGACTTCAAGAGTGTATCAGTCTGTAGTGGAAGGAAGGCGGGGTAGGGGTCGGCCTAGGAAAGGTTGGAGGGAGGGGTAAAGGAGGTTTCGTGTGCGAGGGGCTTGGACTTCCAGCAGGCATGCATGAGCGTGTTTGATAGGAGTGAATGGAGACAAATGGTTTTTAATACTTGACATGCTGTTGGAGTGTGAGCAAAGTAACATTTATGAAGGGGTTCAGGGAAACCGGCAGGCCGGACTTGAGTCCTGGAGATGGGAGGTACAGTGCCTGCACTCTGAAGGAGGGGTGTTAATGTTGCAGTTTAAAAACTGTAGTGTAAAGCACCCTTCTGGCAAGACAGTGATGGAGCGAATGATGGTGAAAGTTTTTTTTTTTTCGGGCCACCCTGCCTTGGTGGGAATCGGCCAGTGTGATAATGAAAAATAAAAATAATTAGTTGCATGTGCATCTTTTTACCTAACATAGTGAACAGTAGCTCAATATGATCCTTCCTGCATTTACAAGATATTCTTCTCATTACTGTACTGTGCAGTACTGTACTTCCTTGTGGGCTACTTACGTTATTTTTAAATTAGCATCAAGGGTTAAAAATAACAGGTTGTTAAAATATTGAAGGCAATAAGGATGAATTTTATGTATTTTTGTTTACCAAGATGAACTTGTTAAATCTGACTTCTGCTTTCCCACTTGTACATGTATACTGTATTGTGCAACTTATTTGTTTCATATTTTTGTGTGTTAGTACCAACACCTGGTAATTTGTTTACTTATAGAACAGATCCTTTTTTTTTTTAACAGACCAGCCATCTCCCACCAAGGCAGGGTGACCTGGAACAGAAGAAATGCTTATTAAAGTTTTTCTTTTTACATTTAGTAATTTATACAGGAGGAGTTACTAGCCCCTTGCTCTCGGCATTTTAGTCACGTCTGATGACACTCATGGATAATTTCTAACGTGCATGTAAAATGCTTTTTTCAGAAGTTCCAAGAAATAATATACTATTTTAAATACCTGGGAAATATTCAAAATAAAGTCACCTTTCTAGGAAAGGCAAATTCCAGATATTACAAGATATCAGAACATAGAGATAAAATTTATAAGTTAATTATTCATAAGTTTTCAGTAAGTCTAACAGTGTATTAACTTACAGGATTGCACGCCAGTACAAGCTGAAGAGTAGCAGCTATGGTAGCAATAAAGACAGACATTTAGTCTTGTCTCGCAAGTTTTCAGCAAAGCAGCTCATTCGTAAGCTTATTGAGGAGGGATCCACAGATAAATACCAGCTAATTCCTCCTCTAAAAATGTGAACTGGAGAGTCAAGAGACTGAAGTGAAAAAACAATGATTAGGAACTAATAAATACAACTGCAATATTTACTTGTAATAAGTATGGTATTTAATTATTTAATAAGGATAATGTTTAAAACTATTTGTTTTATGCTATAATGTAGTGTCACACACACAACATTGTATATACAGTATACAGCTGTATTAGAAATATCAACTAGGAAAGATTTGCTGCATGTTATGGAATATCTTGACTGAGCAACAAGGTGTGTGTATTATATATATATATATATATATATATATATAATATATATATATATATATATATATATATATATATATATATATATTTTTTTTTTTTTTTTTTTTTTTTCAACAAGTCGGCCGTCTCCCACCAGGCAGGGTGACCCAAAAAAAAAGAAAGGATATCCCCAAAAGAAAATATTTCATCATCATTCAACACTTTCACACACTCGCACATTATCACTGTTTTTGCAGAGGTGCTCAGAATACAACAGTCTAGAAGCATACACATATAAAGATAACAACATATCCCTCCAAACTGCCAATATCCCAAACCCTCCTTTAAAGTGCAGGCATTGTACTTCCCATTTCCAGGACTCAAGTCCGACTATATGAAAATAACGGTTTCCCTGAATCCCTTCATAAATATTACCCTGCTCACACTCCAACAGATCGTCAGGTCCCAAGTACCATTCGTCTCCATTCACTCCTATCTAACACGCTCACGCACGCTTGCTGGAAGTCCAAGCCCTTACCCACAAAAAACCTCCTTTACCCCTCTCTCCACCTTTCGAGGACGACCCCTACCCCGCCTTCCTTCCCCTATAGATTTATATGCTTTCCATGTCATTCTACTTTGATCCATTCTCTCTAAATGACCAAACCACCTCAACAACCCCTCTTCTGCCCTCTGACTATACTTTTATAATCCACACTTCTCCTATATTTCCACACTCGAATTTCTGCATAATATTTACACCACACATTGCCTTAACAGGACATCTCCACTGCCTCCAACCGTCTCCTCGCTGCTGCATTTACCACCAAGCTTCACACCCATTATAAGAGTGTTGGTACTACTATACTTTCATACATTCCCTTCTTGCCTCCATAGATAACGTTTTTTGACTCCAATATACCTCAACGCACACTCACCTTTTTTCCCTCATCAATTCTATGATTAACCTCATCCTTCATAAATCCATCCGCCGACACGTCAACTCCCAAGTATCTGAAAACATTCACTTTCTTCCATACTCCTCCTCCCAATTTGATATCCAATTTTTCTTTATCTAAATCATTTGACACCCTCATCACCTTACTCTTTTCTATGTTCACTTTCAACTTTCTACCTTTAACACATTTCCCAAACTCATCCACTAACCTTTGCAATTTTTCTTTAGAATTCCCATAAAGCACAGTATCATCAGCAAAAAGTAACTGTGTCAATTCCATTTGAATTTGATTTCCCCATTATATTAATCCCACCCCTCCCCAACACCCTAGCATTTACTTCCTTAACAACCCCATCTATAAATATATTAAACAACCATGGTGACATTACACATCCTGTCTAAGACCTACTTTTACCGGGAAATAGTCTCCCTCTCTTCTACACCCTAACTGAGCCTCACTATCTTCATAAAAACTCTTTACAGCATTTAATACTTACCACCTATTCCATATACTTGCACATCTGCCACATTGCTCCTCTATCCACTCTATCATATGCCTTTTCTAAATCCATAATGCAATAAAAACTTCCCTACCTTTATCTAAATACTGTTCACATATATGCTTCAATGTAAACACTTGATCTACACATCCCTACCACTCTGAAACCTCCTTGTCATCCGCAATCCTACATTCTGTTTACTCTAATTCTTCAATTATAACCCTACGTACACTTTTCCTGGTATACTCAGTAAGCTTATTCTCTATAATTTTTACAGTCTCTTTTGTCCCCTTTCCTTTATATAAAGGGACTATACATGCTCTCCGCCAATCCCTAGGTACCTTCCCCTCTTTCATACATTTATTGAACAAAAGTACCAACCACTCCAACACTATATCCCCCCCTGCTTTTAACATTTCTGTCATGATCCCATCAGTTCCAGCTGCTTTACCCCTTTTCATTTTACGTAATGCCTCACGTACCTCCCCCACACTTACATTCTGCTCTTCTTCACTCCTAAAAGATGGTATACCTCCCTGACCAGTGCATGAAATTACTGCCTCTGTTCTTCCTTAACATTTAAAAGTTCCTCAAAATATTCTCGCCATCTACCTAATACCTCCATCTCCCCATCTACTAACTCCCCTACTCTGTTTTTAACTGACAAATCCATATTTTTCCTTGGCTTTCTTAACTTGTTTAACTCACTCCAAAATTTTTTCTTATTTTCATTAAAATTTCTTGACAGTGCCTCTCCCACTCTATCATCTGCTTCCTTTTGCACTCTCTCACCACTCTCTTTACCTTTCTTTTACTCTCCCATATATTTGCTCTTCTTATAAACACTTCTGCTTTGTAAAAACCTCTCATAAGCTACCTTTTTCTCTTTTATCACACCCTTTACTTCATCATTCCACCAATCACTCCTCTTTCCTCCTGCACCACCCTCCTATAACCACAAACTTCTGCCCCACATTCTAATACTGCATTTTTAAAATATTCCAACCCTCTTCAACCCCCCCATTACTCTCTTTGCACTATCCCACCTTTCTGCTAATAGTCGCTTATATCTCGCCCGAACTTCCTCCTCCCTTAGTTTATATACACTTTCACCTCCCTCTTACTTGTTGTTGCCACCTTCCTCTTTTCCCATCTACCTCTTACTCTAACTGTAGCTACAACTAAATAATGATCCGATATAATCAGTTGCCCCTCTATAAACATGTACATCCTGGAGCCTACCCATCAACCTTTTATCCACCAATACTAATCTAATAACTACTTTCATTACGTGCTACATCATACCTTGTATATTTATTTATCCTCTTTTTCATAAATATGTATTACTTATTACCAAATTTCTTTCTACACATAGCTCAATTAAAGGCTCCCCATTTACATTTACCCCTGGCACCCCAAATTTACCTACTACTCCTCCATAACATTTTTACCCACTTTAGCATTGAAATCCCCAACCACCATTACTCTCACACTTGAGTCAAAACTCCCACGCATTCACTCAACATTTCCCAAAATCTCTCTCTCTCCTCTACACTTCTCTCTTCTCCAGGTGCATACACGCTTATTATAACCCACTTTTCACATCCAATCTTTATTTTACTCCACATAATCCTTGAATTAATACATTTATAGTCCTCTTTTCCTGCCATAGCTTATCCTTCACATTATTGCTACTCCTTCTTTAGCTCTAACTCTATTTGAAACCCCTGACCTAATCCCATTTATTCCTCTCCATTGAAACTCTCCCACCCCCTTCAGCTTTGTTTCACTTAAAGCCAGGACATCCAGCTTCTTCTCATTCATAACATATTATATATATATTATATATATATATAATATATTTATATTATTATATATATATATATATATATATATTATATATATATATATATATTATATATATATTTATATATATATTATATATATATATATATAAAATATTATATATATATAATTTATATATATACCAAAAGGTATATATAAAGGTATGTATATATATATATTTTTTTTTTTTTTTTCAACAAGTCGGTCGTCTCCCACCGAGGAAAAGTAAGAAGTTATTCATCCCTAATCCTAAACTATAAATCATAATTCTTACAAACCAACTGTTGTTTTTAGAACCTCTGAAAAAACAGTGAAAAATGTTGGTGTGGTAAAAGTGTTAAATGGGGAATAAAAATTTTTTTTTCTTTTTGGGGATTTTTTTTCTTTTTTGGGTCCCCTGCCCGGTGGGGGAGGGGCCCCGACTTGTTAAAAAAAAAAAAGTTACATGTGAGAAGTTTTTAAAAAGTAGAAGTGATGAAAGGGGGAAGAGTTAAGGGGGAAAGAGAGAGGTTAGAGGAGTGGTAAAAGAAATGTAAAAAGAGGGGGAAAAATGGGGAGAGTGGGTGAGAGTTTATCAAAAAATTTTTGTTAAAAAATAAGAAAAAAAATTTTGGAGTGAGATTAAAAATTTAAAGGGAAAAAGCCTAGGAACAAATGATTTGTCAGTTAAAAATAGGAGAGGGGGATTTTTAAAATTGGGAGTTAGGGGTATTGGGAGATGGAGGGAATTTTTTGGGAATTGTTAAATGTTGTAAAAGGATGGGGAAAAAGCTTTTTGATTTCGTTTTTTAGGGCAAGGAGGAAAAAAACATCTTTAAGAGTAAGGGGAGCCAGTTGTGAGGGGGGGGGGAAGTTCGGGGGGAAGGGCAGTAGGTGAAATTTAAAGGGGGAAAGGCACCCGGGATTTTTTGGATAAAAGATAGAAATGTTAAAAGCAGGGGAATATATTTTTGGGTGTTTGGTGAATTTTTTAAATTTAAATGTATGGAAGGGGGTTTTAAGGTCCTGGGGTTTGGGCCCAGAGAAATTTGCTATTTCCCTTTGTAAAAAGGAAAAGGGGGGACAAAAGGGAGAGTGCAAAAATTATAGGGGGAAAAGGGTCTGTTGGGTATACCGGTAAAGTGTAGGGTTTAAAATTATTATTGAAAAAATTTTTAAGTAAGACGGGAAAATAGGTTTAGCAGATAAAACAAGGAGGTTTTGGAAAAGGGTTTGGGGGGTGTTTTGGAAACCAGGGGGTTTACAGTAAAAACATAAAAGTGAACAGTTTTAGTTAAGGAAAAAAGGGTCTTTGTGGCTTTTTTTGGTTTTGGGAAAAAGGGGGTTCGAAAGGGTGGTTAGAGGGGCCCAATGGGGGGTGTTGCAGGTTTTACTTTATAGGGGGTTTGGGTTACTAAAAGGGCAGTGAAGAGTTTTTTTACGAGGATAGTGAGGAAAAAAGTTAGAGCATGTGGGGAAAGGGGGAAAATTTTTTCCCCGTAAAAAGAACCCTTAAAACAAGGTTTTGTGTTTGTCACCGTGTGGGGTGTGATGTCACAGGTCTTTTGTCCCTCGTTTGCTGGGGTTTTTCTCGTTTTTTTAAAACGGTCGCTCTTACGTGTAGAACTTTAATTTGTGCCATCAATCCTATACGATAAATCCCTCTAGCCCCTGGAACCAATTTTGGGGCGGGAAAAAATTATTTCTGAGTCAAAAAAAGGAAAAATTAAGTGTGCATCCCTACC